GACGGGCACCAGATGGATGCCCTGAGAGTGAACCCTCTGGTGACCCACCACCTCTCTTGTATCACCCACTGACACACGTGTAAGAAAATCCCTGGGGGCTGAAAGAGGCACCCGGATTGGGCTTTGCTGCATGAGACCAACATGGATGTCCCCTTCTAACTCATCCCCAATCCCAATGGCCCTGGAAAGGATCTTCCAGTGAACAGTTCACAACAGGTCTCCTTCCCCAAAAGGGACGCCTAAAGGAGCAGCAGGGTTTGTGCTGGGGACACAACACCCACACTGTGCCCTTTCCAGGGCTGTCCTTAGGCCAGCTCTAGTCTGGCCCACAGCCTGAGCCCATGAGATGGGTTCCACTCCACAGACCCACCCTGAGCCCTGAGACCTCTCCAGGATGCCAACACGAGAGAGGAGAGTACAAACAACCAGGAGATTTGGTCCAAACTTGTCTTCCTGCTCCAGCTCCAGTCCTGGGCATGGCCACACCTGGAGTTTTGGTCACATGAACATGGTAAGACTTCCAAAAACAGGCTGGACAAGCTGCCTCCAACAAATCTCAGGTGTGTCCTGTCCCTGAAGGTACCTTAATCTTGGGGTTAGGAGTAGAGTGAGCAGGTGCTTTGCTATCGGACAATTATTAACTCCTTTCCAACAGCTATTTTCTAGCACTGCCCACATTATGGTTTCCACATTCTTTTCTACCAAGAGATTTTCCAGTTTGTTTGGCAGAATCATAAACTTCCCAAGAAAACACTACCCAAAAATTCTAACACTCACTTTTGGTTAGGAGAAAACTGTTAATAGGGGCTTTCTGCACCTAGACCAAGAACTTCATTTTTTTCCTCGGCAGAATTATTAAATTCAGGAGTTTCTGAACCAATTACTCCAGAGTCTCAGTTGCAGGGCTATCTCTCACACCAACCTTTTCCTTTTACAAACTGCCTTTATCACCCACACAACGATAAACGCCGGTGCCTCGCACATGTCAGCTATCAGGAATTCATTATTTTGTCTGTGCTATGTTATACCAGTCGGGAGTTATCTTTGCAGCCCACAGGCCAGAACCAAAATCAAATGAGTCAGCTATTTAAAGAAAATAGAAGCCCTCCTCCAGCAATTTAATTAACTTTCAGGGAGCATGGCTGGGTTTCAGTCCTGGAAATGGTACTGGTGGGGAAAATACGGTCCAGGATTATCAGTCAGGCAATAAACTTTTTTTTTTTTTTTTTGAAGTTACTTTCCTTATATAGTCCCTGAAGCTAATCTGATTTTAATAAATGTTTTTCCAATGCTAGGAGGACAGCATTTAAGACTTCTCAGTTATAAACTTTCTTGTCAAGCCAGAAAGGAAAATAACACTCTACATGATTGTACAGCATTTTTGAGAGTAGGTGCTTAGTCTGTAAATTAAATACAACTAAATCATTTACTTCCCAAAGAGGCAAGACTTTATATGTTGCAAATTTACACGAATTAACAGATTGCCAAGACATTAGGGGTTTTTCCTAAACTTAAGTAAAATTCCTATCATGAACACAATATGGACTTTTTTTCCCCAAAACTGAGCCACATCAGAAGCTGTAACTTGAAACACATTCTCTTTTTTAAACCCTTGCACAGAGTTTAAAAGCCAAAATTTTGTAAAACCAGGCTTGCAGATTTTCCTGTTTCATTTGTCAGTGGGAGAGTGGAGGAATGCAATTAACTCACGCAGAGTTTCAAAACTCCAATCAATGACTAATACTTGCTCAGGGTTCTTATTGCAGGAGCTGGACAAAAAGTGCTGGGAACTCAGCTGAGAAGCAGTCAACTGGAAGGCATGAGTCGTGAAAATCAAACACCAGCAAGCATTACATCCTTCCTCTTGAGCAAAGCGTGCCCAGCATTGCACAGGAAAGCAGAGGGGCAGGAATCTGGAGCATCCCAGCCTTGCTGGGAACAGCAGAGCTGCAGGACCCTGCAGAGGAACCATCCTGCCCCTGGCAGCCCTGACACTGTCCCATGTAAGGGGGAGAGGAAGGGCTCACTGAGCTCTTCATCACACTCAGCAGGGAATTATCTCAGCTGGGATCAAGAGTCGGGTAAACAGGAAAAGGAAACGGGCACATGGTGACCCACACCAACCATGGTCCACTGCCACCTTTGTCCCTCATTCCTCCTGCATCCCAAAGCCAGTCTAGACTGCCTCTGAGAATCCAGAGGTGCCCAAAGCAGGCACATGTGCATGGACATGCTGTGCGTACAATTTTGAAGTACGTATTTAAGTTTTATCAAGTTGTCTTAAAAACCAGAGTCCTCTCAGAGTGGGACTGGGGTGGCTTGCCTTACATAAAGCCTCTCTCCAAATAATAAGGCACAAAACTAAATGGTTTGTTAAGGTCCCTTCCAACCCAAACCATTCTATGATTCTGTGAAACCCTTGTCCTGCGACAGCCCAACTTGGGACCTCGGGGTCCTACTGCAAACTACCTGCAAGGGCCAAACCCCAAAGACCCTGATACTTCCATGCTGTCAGTGGTACCAGACTGCAAAGCCCCTCAAGTGACCTTTCTGGTGTAGAAACTGGAAGTTTTCACTTTCTCCAAGCGCCCACGTGTCAGAGTTGCTCACTGAAAATAAACAGATTTCCAAGGAATGCACGCACCCACTCAGCTCAGGCCAGGGGAGGGTGTTTCGTGGGAAGTTGCTGCTCTCTGCCATCAAGGCGTTATCTGAGAATTCGAGCAGTGGATTGGGAAAGGGATTCCTGCAGAACCCCAGGAGTCTGAAGCATTTGGGCCCTGGTACTAAGCCGCCAGTCAGTGGTAATGCCACACGGTGACCCTACATGGGATGTACCCCCAGGGAAAAGCTCCCCGTGGGATGTGTGAAAAATCAGGCAGGCACAGATCCCCAGCACTGCCTGGACTGCTTCAACCCTCGCTCCCAGAAAGCTAATCTCTAGGACTTCAGGCAATTCCTGTATTTACCCACATTCATCCAGCACTAATCCAGTATTAAAAAAATTAACCTGAGCGCTCTCACGTAAGCAAAAATGGTGCAAGAGCCACATTCCAGAAGATGATTCAAAGCAGAATGGACAAATGACAGTAAACAGAACACGCCAAACCCAAGGAACTGCAAAGGGAGGCAAATCACACTGCACAGGAGCACCACTGCAAGGACACAGTGTTTGCACTACAGCAAATTGGGCAGTGGAGGCAAATCCTTCGGTATCGTCGTAAAGATATGCTGGTAATTAAGCTAATGCTTTATCAGCACTGGCCCAAAGGACCACTTGTGATATGGGACGTGGAATTCCTCCACTTCTGGCGTTCTCACTGGGCCTGGGACAGCTGGCCATGCTCATTTGCTACAGGGGCATAACATATGCTCAGTCCAACAGAGGAAGCAATTGCTGCAGCTATTTTTGTGCAACTCCTAGGGGAAGTGCTGTACTTGGGAAATCACTCTGGTAGTCCAGTGTTCTTCCCTCCAATTTTCCTTAAATACTTCTGAAGGTAACCACAGGCAATCCTTGCAACGTGGTCCAGGGAAGCACAGAAAACCACCACAGACACAGTTCTTGGGCACGTGAAGCCCCACTTAGCAAACCTATTTATGGCAAATGATAACGAGTCAGTGTTAAGTTTAAACCACATCAGGGAGGTTTCCACCACAAAGGTAGTTTTTTAACTTTAATCCCTTTTCCTGATTATCAAGAGCACATTCCACCAGTTGCTACAGCTTGACACATTACTTCTTGCTGAGTCAGCAGTGGTTTTCTGGTGATCTGTGCCTAACCTGAGCTAAGCTTAGGGTAATCTTAGGGTGTCCCCTGTGAGATCAGGCAGGATAACGGGTCCTTCTAGAGAAGAACACAGCACACTGAAGGTACAAGCAATATAGTGTCTACAGCAGGTCTACAGCATGCACAGAAACAGAAATGGGTCTGTACAGCCAGCCCACCCTGGTCACAAGGATGTCTTTTCCTCCCTGCAGGTGTGACAGCATGCCAACAAAAAGGAGGAGAAGGTTTGATAGACTTAACAGAGCGTGTCCTTCAGCAGAGAAGGGACTGGCCTCTGGAGAGAAGGGCTCTTGGGTAGCAGCACTGGCACCTAATTGACAACTGCACACTGAGGGGAAAGCAGAGTATGTCACTTTGGCAGTCAGACGTGAATCGCTCCCTGCATGTGAGCAGACAGCTCTTTACCAAGCGTTTCCGTGGTTCTCCAAAGCTGTTGCAGTTAAAGTGTGAAACACACCTCTCTTTCCATATGGAAACTCAGCAAGTAGTAAAATATTAACGTGACCAAAGCCAACTTTCTGAATCTCTATTTGCTTAGTGAGCTGTTTCTAATGGAAGGTCTTTCCCCCTGGCTCCAACAGGTCCGGTTGTGACCCCACTTCCCCCCCACAGCCCCCTTATCACAATCAGTGCAGGGTAAGAAGCACCTCCACAGGGAAGCCCAGTCTGATGATGCAGCTTCAGACAGCCCAAGCCCAGCACAGGGAGCCACAACACAACTGTTGGGTCAGCTGTGGGGAGGGGGAGGCCCCGGGGCAGCTGCAGGAGAACACGGCTCATTGATCCCGGTGTGGGCAGCTGATCGGCCCCTCGTCCCTGCACAGGGCTGTGGGCAAGGTCACCCAGATGGACCCAAAACCACAGTTCTGCAGAAGCACAGGCAAAAAAGTTTGCTTTGCAAAAAAGTTTTGCAAAGCACAGGCTTTCTGTCAGGGGAGTGTGGGAGCTTCTCCCTTCTTCCACTTCAGCACCCACACTTGGGAGCAAAGCGTGATGGCCTGAAACACTGTTTTGACTCAGAGCTTGCTCACAAAAGGCATTACTCACCCTGCAGACTCAGATTTTATCCAGCCCAGCAGCACATTTCACTTTCTTCAGGCACTGCTCGCAGCTGGACTTTACCCCCATTTGTGATTGTTTGCAATACAATGCCAACACAGAAAAACACATCCATCAAGCACACTAGTATTAGAAAGGAAAATGTTATTACCTGGAATAGTCCCCTTTAGCTTCCTACAATTGAAAAACAGTGACAGAATTAAAACATGATCTCTTCAAAAGCCCTCGATTTTCCCAGCATTGTTCGCTTCCCCACTCCCACAGCTCTGCAGCCAGATCCTGACCCCCGCCAGACTCCCTGCACAACACCGAGCCCGCCTGCATGTGTTCAAGAGCTGAACTTGGCCCTTTTAAGCTTCCAGCTGTAGATAATCCACCTACAGCATAAATAAAACTGCTTCCAAAACGGGGATGAATTTCACATTGCAAACCAAATGTCGCTTTTACTGCACAAGAAGCGAAATACAATTCTCTCCCCTGGCCGACCACATGCAGCCGAAGGTCGCCTGTGCAGGCAGGTCAGCACTTGGGAGGAATTGTGCTCGCTCGGAGATGAAAACAAACAACCCCTCATGCAGATCAAGCCGCTGCAGCTTTGCTGTGGCACTTTGTCAGTGAGAATGCAACGGGGGAAAATAACCCCTCAGTATTTTAAAGGCAGGATTTTATTCCATGGGGAAAGCAGTAAATAACCAGAGTTTAAGTTCGAATACAACGAAACTTGATTAACGAGAGGGGAAAACTGACACTGTGTATTTCAACATAACAGAGGTATCAAAACCATATGCTCTGAAAGGAAGATTCACAGGCATAATATAGCAGATTTAGCTACAGTAATTACTCTTTTCTTCCCAGATCTCTGGAATGTATTTAAATTAGAATAAGTGATAAATTGAATGGAAACCCGCCCAAATAAACGAGTTGCCTTGCTGAGCTCTTCCTCTTTCAATTTAAAATTCCTCAGATAAATAATTCTCTCGCCTACGAGAAAAAAAAAAAAAAAAACAACTCTCAAGTATTCCAGCTTTCCCCCCACAGCCGCAGAGGGCATAAACAACCCTGCGGGGTCTTGTCTGCATAGAGGGGGAGGAAATAAGGCAGGAGGAACGCGCTGATCCAAAGGCAGCCCGAGGGAGCGGTCCAGGGGCAGGGACACTCACCTGCAGCACCAGCGCGGCCAACTTGAAGACGGTCTCGCTCTCCACCTCGATCTGCCCCTGTGCGGAGAGAGCAGAGCGTGAGCCGGGAGCGCCCGCACCGCCCCGGGGAGGGAGCAGGGGAGGAGGGGGCACCGGGGGGGCGGTGCCGGCTCTCGGTGCCAGACCAGCCCCGGCACAGCCGCTCCCCTCCCCGTGTCCCCCCGCTGCCACCGCGATACAGCCCGTCCTCCCCAGCCCTGCCCTGCTCTCCGCAGCTTGCTTTACACATCTCGCTTTCACTGCGTTTCGCCGGATGCTGCTCCGTGTTGCTGCATCCCACCCTCAGCGGGGACACGGTCCCGCACACTGCCAACCCTTCCCACGCAGCAACAAAAGTACTGTAATGGCTCGAAGGACACACCCGCCTCAGGGCAAGGTCCACAGTTCACAAAATCACGGAATGGTTTGGGTTGGGAGGCACCTTAAAAGCTCATCTTGTTCTAACCCTCCTGATACGGGCAAGGACACCTTCCACTAGACCAGGTTGCTCAAAGCCCTGCCCAACCTGGCCTTGGACACTTCCAGGGACAGGACACGGCAGATAAATGGTTGGATAGCACCCACAAGCACACACCAGCTTGACAGGTATCAGTATTTGACAAGATCTAAACCCCTGACTTGGTCTAGAAGAAAAGGCACTTCCCAGCTCAGTGCTCTCCAAATCGTGGCAGCTGGGCTTGGGTGTCGTGCAGCCATCCAGTGTGACAGCCACGTCACAGCCAAGAGAAAACCAAGAAACTGCATCCATTTCTTGGTAAAGAGTTTTACTGCTCATAGTTTTAGGACAATTCATTCTTTGCTGTGATGGTGGTACACAGCCCTCTGATGCTGACTAAGCATAACTAAGCTTCCCTTGCCCCACTCAGTCTGGATCTGACAGCCTTCAGTTCTTCCAATAGCTCCAGAGGTGCCAAAACATCAAAACTACAAAAGGATTGTGTTGTTGTTGTTTGTTTTTTTCCCATGCTTGCAAGCTTAAGTGCAAGCTTTCAAACTTAGTTTCTTACCAACAAAAACCAAGGTGTTGGTTCAATTCTGGGACCAGCAATAACACTGGAGGGGTAAAGGAGATGCACTGACAGTTGGACTTGGGCTGTCCAAGCCACCCTTTACACTCCTACACTCTGCAAATGGTGCGTGAAGAACAAAACGGACCCCACAAACACAGATTTTTCTTATCGACCTTCTGCAAGTGAAGATAATGGTCACGATGCCCATCTCCTGCCACTGAGATCCCAAGACATCCTTTGTCCCCAGGATCTGTTTGCTGCATGAGGACACAAAGCAGACTGAAGGCTGAACTAATGCCAAAACCAGGGCAGCAGGAAGATCTACAGAATTACATACAGAAACATGAAATGACATCTCAAAATATATTAGGGCACATCTGGAGCTGAGCTAATTTACCACAGCTGCAGGTCTGGCCCACAGAGACTAAATTCAAGAGTGAACAAACAAATAATTCAATTTTCATGGAAAGGAAGTTTTTTTGCCAGCTTTGTCAATAAAACATTCCAGCAGCAGCGCTCCCCCAGGCTTCTCTGACAGGCAGACCAAGAGCAATTTCCCCTTCCCAACAGGTGTGGCAGCAGCTATGCAGGAGCAGCCTCCAAAGCATTCCCAGGCATATTTTATTAGAAGAAAAGGAGGGGCACATCACCAGTTAAGAGAAAAAGAAATAGCTTGAAAGTTCATCCTTCCTTCAGATCTCTTTCATGTTGATGCGTAAGAACAGAGGCAAGATCGCAGCCCAGAAACTCTTCACATAGGTGCAATTTTAAGGCACTTTGTTACTTCCAGGTCCCTATCAGGTTAGGCTTTGTCATGCACATCTGAGCTGGCTTGTTTAAAGCACCTCCTCAAACAGCCTCTGAAGCCAACGATGGTGGTGGGAGGATTACGGGAGATCAGGTCATCCAAGCACCGTGTGCTCCTGCACCAGCAGGCAGGGAACTCAGACATGAGAAAGTGCCATCAGAGGGAACCTCAGCTCAGCAGGAAAGACGGGATCTGGCTCAGTAAAGCTGTCTGTGGAACCACAAAATCAAGGAAAACAGGACCAGAAGGAACCTTAAAAACTGATCAAGACCCTCTCCCTGCCCCAAGGCAGAATCAGCTACATGTGGCTCATCACCTTCTAAGCCTACAAGAAACTCAAGGAGATTTAACTCTCCAAAGCCCTCTCTGATTTGTTGCTGGCTCCCAGATAAACTCAGCAGCACTCAGTGAGCTGCTGCAGCAGTGACTCTCTGCTGACCCATAGCAATAGCTCCTGCTGGCCTTACTGGCGTGTTTGGGACTTGATAACCAAGCACCTGCTTACTTTTCATCTTCAAAGCACCTCACAGCCATTAACTAATTAGCAACAGTAATTACGAGGCTGCTCTTTACTTGTTCTTAGATACCAGGGTTAAGAAACTCTGGTCACTTCACTGGCTGCTATGGCATTGCTACAACTGCTAACAGTGATCCCACAAACCACTTTATTTAGGGTTTTAGGAGACCAAAGGGAGGCTGAAGGGGGGGACTGACTTCTCCAGGTGATGAAGTTTCAGTCTTTGCTTTCACAGTGAGGGATTTGCTGTACCAAAGCAGTTTTGAATAAATTTGCTTAGAAGCTGTAGAGGAGTGAACAGGTAAGGGGGTCCTCCCTAATGTGACCTCTTTCAAGGATGCTGCAGGTGTCTTGACCGAGCCAAGGGGACAAACAGGATGCCCCAGATGCAGGGCTGCCACCATGTCTCTCCAGCTGCTGCAAACCTCAGAACAGGGTGGACCAGCTCTAATTATTATCCTATATCACCATACAGTAACAGTGGCTGGAGACTGGGGCCACTCTGAGTGAGGCTCAGCACCAAAAAAAAAAAAGCCAAACAGCAACAAGGAGAACACCCACCCTTTGAAGAAGCTAAAAATCACAGAAGAAAGGATGCAGGGAGGCAAAGGGGCTGCCCGGAAGTCCCACAGTAGCTAAGTAGCAGAGCAAGGACTTGAAGCAAAGGATCCAAAGCCCAGCTCAGCCTTTATCTGACAGACTAATGCTCTACAAGTGACAGTCTCTTGGACAATTCCCTCTGAGCCTGGAATTATTTTTCATCATAACATAACGTTATTTGCCATCTGGCTCCCCAATTGGCCATTGCTCTAATGTAATCCAGCCCTGCCCTGGGCTCTCACGGAGTTTGGACAGCCCTTGGCTTGACACAAATCCATGCAGCTCTACGTGTCACTCTGGAGTGCAGGACCATGACTCTTCCCACTCAGGCAATATTTGGATTTTATAATCGTCCTCCAGCCTGGAGGCTGGCAGATGGGGGTTTGTTTCAGTATCGCTTTATCAGCAAGGTCAGATTTCAAAAATAGATGAGCAAAACGGCTGTAAGAAGATTCATTTGCAATCCCTGCAATCACCAGGGTAATTCAAGCACAGGTTTCAGTGAGCAAGTGGGGGGCCTGAGAGCCAGGGCAGTGAGTGCTCCCATGGCTGTGTGTCAAGACTGAAGATGGAAGGTTTTCCTAGATTTATCCCAAGTGGGAACAAGGTCACTAGCACGAGGTTAAGTAGATGCATGTAATTCAGATAATGGAATCTGAGTCTTCTACCTTTGAGATGTAAATAAGTTTAGACAGACTAGCGGGTGCATCTCCAGGGAGGGGATGAAAATTATATTTTTCAATTAAAGTTTGCACAGGGACCAATCATTTTAACCAGTAAGAAGGATTCAGCCCCCTGTGTAGCTCATCCAAAAGACCATTGGCTTATCTAAACACTGCATTTGGTCCAGCAGATTCAGGTGGTGGCTTTTGTCATGCTGACAAACAGCAGAGTAATAAAAGGTCGTAGCAGGTGTCCAAACTGGGTGGCAATTACTGCAGAGCAGGAGTAAGTCACTATCTCAGCAGCTGGTCAAGACCAGCTCGCCCTTCAGTGCCCATGGGCAGAGTTTAGTCCCCAGTTCAGAGAGGAGCTCATGTCTTTTGCTGCACAGACACAGACTTAGAATGTGATAAAAATCACAAGCTTGTTCATGAATAGAGCAGTGAACCCTCATTACACACAGCAACAACACTAGAATTTACTGCCATAGAGAAACAAGTCTGAAATCCTGATGGAAACTCAGATCAAGGGTGACGATAGTCCGATGAGCATTAACTGTGCTAAGCAAATCTTTAGGCTTTAAACTCAGATTAAAGCAGATTTAAAAAAATAAGTAACACATAGGAACTGTCAGCTTTAACTCTTTAGAGCCGGAGCAAGAAGCAAAAGCGGATGTGGTTTATTCAGACCACACGTAACCTCCACAGGTTAAAGACTGACAACAAAAACATTTCACAGGAAGATTTGAGAACTGAGATACCAACACACCTGTTCCCTCAAACCAATCCCTTTAAAAATTTCTATTAACCAAAGATACCCCCAAATATGCACGTACTATGATTGAATAGCCTCGAGACAGCCACAATATTGCATACAATTACCTGTGATTACCGGGAGGTGATTAAAAAAAAAAAAGCTGAAAGAAGGGTGCAATTAGTCAGAGGGAAAAGAAAGGACCCAAATGTCTGCAACGAGGTGTTCAAACCGAGGGAGGCAATTAGCTGGGTGTGGACCCAGCACAAGTGAACAAAGCAATGCCAGCGTCGTGTGCCCTTAACCAGCACCGTGGCGACCTCCCACCAGGCATCCCGTATCCCTGTGTGTCCTGGCAGCCAGAGGATGGGAGGGCAGGTCCCAGCAGTGCAGAAAGCTTAGCAGCTTCTCAGTGTTTAAGGTTTTATTGACAGGCTGGAGACAACCTGTAACGTGGCACAAGCCGAGCAGGGCAAGAGGAACTAGGTCAGGCAGATCCAACAACTCGCCCTGTCAGAGTGGCTGTGCGGGGTAATTACTGCACAGAGACAAACACAGGCTGCACATGGATAACCTCCAACCTTAAACTGCCTGTCCTAATTACTGGCACTCACACCTACGTCTCAGTCCTGGTGGTGTCACCTGCTGTTCACATCCCATTCCCTTC